TGGACCTACTTCTGGGCTCGCTGTAAAGGGGAAGCCAGCTCGTCCTCCCATCCGCAGTGAGTGAGTTGTGACTGTCCCCAGCCTCCTCGAGGGCATCTCGCTGCGCACTCGGGGCGGTACATCTTAATATGGGAAATCTCAGATAGTAAGCTTCCCGCAATTCTGGGAAAAAACGGTAGTTTGATAACCAGTCAAATTTTAGTTCTCTTAGTTTTGAACCTCTGTTTTAAAATAAGTCAGTTCAAAAACGGGGGAAGAAGCAGATTTCCTGGTTCAGCTTCAAGTCGAAGCCTCCCAAATGCCAGGAACGACTGTCTTCAGAGTCCCAGGGGGATCGCTGGCCTCTTCCTTTTATTCTCTGCATGAAAAGCAAATTGATGGTGTTTCCTATCTTGAGAATATCCTCAATCATGTATATTTTCACATCAAAAAGGAAAAAATAGTATTTAATTGTTTTGCTTCTGTTGAAATAGGTTTTCCTCAATGGGAAATTGACATTAAAATCGGCGTCCCCCTGAGTCAGCAGGCCAGGAGCCCCCTCGCAGTTGACTTTGGTGCTTCTCATTCCCTCCTGTTTGCCGCTGCAGACGGGCTGCTGCCCTCCCCGGAGGGGGCGCTGTGGCAGCCAGTGGCCTGTTACAAACGGGCCCTGCCAGCACGCATCCCCTCTGCTTCCTTCCTCCCTCCTCAGTGTCCCTGTCACCAGAGCAGAGCAGAGGGGACGTAGGGAAGGTCAGCCAAACTGAACTGAAAGGGCCCATCTGATAGATCTTCAGGCCCTATCAGGGATTGACACTCAATGAACACAGTTAAATTGAAACTTTTCTTTGAAATTTGTAACATTTAAAACTTTTCCTTTATTGCATCTTTTATTATTTTTTTCAGTAAGTCTCACTTGCAATTCAAACATAGAAAGAACTATTTAAGACTGGGGCGAAACCTGCCTGCTTGGCATCTCCTCGTTCCCTTCATTCCCCGCCAGTCTCCACCCGCAGGTACCTCTGTGCAGCCCTGGGAAGCAGATGGCAGTGACTGAGGGGCCAGGTCTGGGGCAGGCAGGACCCTGCCGTCTTGAGCGGTTGCCGTCAGAGACGTCAGACTCAGTGTGACCATTGCCGGAAAACTCCCTTCCCACCCATGCTCCATGGGGGGCGCTTTCCTGCTTTCTGTCTCTCTCCAGTGAGTGCACACACCCTCTGGCAAATTAAAAAAGATAAAGAATAATTCTCGGCAAGTAGTAAGACATCCAGCAAGTGTTAGCGACACGAAGATTCTCGCAGTTATTTTTCATTCACGCAGAGGCAAAGCTGCTTTCCGTGGAGCGTCAGCCGGACGTGTGCGGCGTTGGTTTCCTGTCACTTTAGAGCAGCACCCTCGGCTCACTGTGGCTCACCGGCCCCCTCTCTGACCGCCCCTGCGCCTGCCCTCACGCCCCTTGGCCACGCAGGAGGCCTTGCTGCAGATACTGGCACGATTTGCCCCCTTCACCACACGCACCGGTCGGTTGTCAGCACCCCAGGACTGACTATGGCACTGTTCCAGGGCGCCATGCCCCGTCTCCCTGTCCTGGATTGAGGGCTTTCTCTGTTGTAAGATATATTTGTCTCTACCTAACATTTCATCGTTTATCTGTTCATTGGCATTTTACCCGATTAGACTAGATGTCGTGACACATCTAGGGACGACGTGGTCTCTCTGCTCGGTCACTTAGCCCCGGTGCCCCTTCACGTGCGTAGCAGGGCTCAAGAGGAATTTGTAAGTGATGGGCGGATGGGGCTGGGGCAGAGGACCATTCCCCCGTCCCTTTTGCCAAGAGATGCTGGAGTTTCCAGACGGTTGCCGAGGCCCATCCCAACTTTTCTGTGGTGAGATTAGAGAAGAGTTCAGACTTGGGGAGTGTTTTTACTCTTCCTCTTTTCTGTACCATGTACTTCACCGTACTCTCAGCTAACCGGAAGTGGATTAATGCATTGTTAAGGCTGCACCCTCTGGGCCAGATGGAGGCACAGCAATTTGGCACTCTGCAGGGTAGACCAGCCCCGACCGCACCCCCAACCCCACCATGGGAAGGTTACAGGTTCGCCTCTGGTGACCTCCATGAGTAGGCCAGGCTTGCATGTGCCCAGACATGTGCCCATGTGTGCGCTCATGTGTGTGACCATACATTTTGTGCCCATGTGTGCGCTCATACATGTGTCCATATGTGTGCTCATGATCTGGGCTGGCTGAGTCTGGGAACGTTGTGGAACTGGGACGCTGTTCGAGGAGCTCTCTCCTTTTCATGGAGTGAATAAGCTTAAAAATTACTGCTGGGGACCAGCAGATGGCGTAATGGTTACACTGCTGGACTCACACATGGTTGACCATGGTTCAAGTCCCGGACCTGGTGGCTTAAAACTCATGCTGGGTGCATGTTCATGCATGCCCCTAATCCAGAGAGGAAAATGGAGAAGGGATTGCAGTGTGGCCGTCCCCCCCAGGGGTGGTTTCTGGCTTTTTGTCTCTGGCAAGTGCTCACGCCCTATACCAAAAATCTCTCTTAAAAAAAAAAAAGTGTTATTTTCATGGCAGATTATTTGGGTCCGTCTTTAACTGGGCATTCTCAACCCCACCACATCTGTACCATTCTCCCTGTTACTACAACCTCTGGTGCCAGGCGGAGGAGTCTGTTGAGTGTGGCTGAAGGCGGGACAAATAGAGACATGTGACAGCTCCGGAAAGTCTGCTTCCAGTGCGAGCCGGGGGTCTGGTAGCTGAGAAGCCGGGCTGTCTGCTTGCTTGGTGGGGTCAGGCTGTATGTGCCTGCTAGTCTCCTGGAGGTGGAGCTGCTGGGCTCCTCTCTCACCAGTCAGCTAGGTATGTATTTGAAGAGTTAACCCTGTCATTTGTCTTAAATGGTAGTTTGATACCTTTGTACTGATTCATTGACTTTAACTTTAGATGAAGCCATTGATTTTAGTGCATGAACAATGACAAATTTTAAGAATAACTTGGGCCAGCAGGTGGCATGGTGGTTGGGGCACTGGACCTCCCACATGGCTAACTGCAATTCAAGTCCCGGACCTGGCAGCTTGCTTTTCTCTCTCTCTCTGGCGAAATCGAAGAATTATATAATTAATAAAAATTTTTATAATGAAATAAACTTTTTTTAAAGAAAAAGAATAACTGAAAACCTTGAGCGTCTTTGTGTTTATTTTTTTGTAGTTCCTGGGGATTTTTCAAGTCTCCCTTCACAGTGTCAGTTGGTTTTCACGTCCTGCTCTCTGCGAGAATGAGCAGTTTTGGGCTTTTATTTTGGGCCTCCTGTCCAGCCTCATGTTTTAACACCCAGCAACCCGCTGAACCATGTCTTGTTACAATCCAAGCAAAACAACTATGTTCTCCGGCCCGCCCTGCAGCACAGCAAAGTGCTTGGTCTGGCATGGCCCAGTGCAGGTCACATCCCAGCCCCAGTGGCTTGAAAAACACAGGAAGGAGCGGAGGAGTGCACCTATGTGCATGTGTGTTCCAAATCCTAACAGGGCAGAAAATGGAGGAAACAGGATTGCAGTGTGGACCACACCCCATCGAGGGGAGAGTGTTTTCTCTCTCTCTCTTTCTCTCTGTCTCTGGCAAGCACACATACCTTCCAGCAATTAAAAAGAAAACTTTCTCTCTGATTTAAAGAGGGATTAGCCACATGCGAATCTACTATTTAGTTTTTCTTCTTCCTTTAACTCCCTGACATTAAATGAGCTAATTAATGTTCATAATGTCCTTTCTAAGTTGGAACTGTCCACATTGGGACTGTAGACCGTGCCAGGTGGGGTGTTGGACTGGGAGAGTTTACTTACCAGATGGTGGTAAGGGGAGTTCAGGGACAGGAGACGTCTGTCAGAGCAGGGCAAAACTCACTGGGCCCTGATTAGCAATATGGGTAAAGATTTCTTTCTTTCTTTTTTTTTTTTTGGCTATAGGTTACATGCGCTTGCTGGAGCAACAGAGAGAAACAGAGACAGAAAACAAGAAATTATCCCTGGGGTGGGGGGTGGCCATGCTGTAATCCCTTCTCCTCCATTCTCCTCTTGGGATTTTGGGCAAGAGTGTATACACACCTGGTGTGAGTTTTAAGCCGCCAGGTCTGGTACTTGAACCGCAGTCAACTGTGGAGTCCAGCAATGTAACCATTACACCATCATGCTGGTCCCCATGTAAAGATTTCTCAGTGGAGCCTTGGGGGCTAGCAGGTGGTGTGGTGGTTGGAGCAGTGGGTCTCCACATGGCCAACTGTGGTTTGAGTCCCACACTTAGAGACTTGCTTTCTCACTTTCTTACGTTCGTTCTCTCTCTCTCTCTCGCTCTCTCTCTCTCTCTCTCTCTCTCATGAGTGTGCATGCCCTGTAGCAAGTTGAAGAATAATAATAGTGATAAAGAAAGTTAAATCAGGGACCAGCAGTTAGTACAATGGCTATATCACTGGACTCCCATGTAGTAGATCATGGTTCGAGTCCCCGACCCAGCAGCTTAAACTCACACCGGGCACGTGTGCGTGCGTGCCCAAGATCCTGAGAGGAGAATGGAGGAGAAGGGATTGCCGCATGGCCATCCACCCTGGGGGGTGATTTCTCGCTTTTTGTCCCTGTGTCTTTCTGGCAAGCGCATGCACCCTATAGCAAAAACCTCTTCAAAAAAAAAAAAAAAGAAAGTTGAAGGGGGGCCTGGAAACCCCTCTAAGGTTTTAAGCAGGGGCAACTGCATGTGACCGCCAAGTGTCCACAGCAGCGTTGCTCCCTGGTCCTTCGTCCTGCTTTTCCCAGCTCCATGAGGCCGATTCTCTAGACCAGCCTGCCCCGGGTCCTTCACGGACAGCAGCGCAGAGCAGCTTTCCCTCCTCCTCCTCCAAACAGGACATGTGCTAGAGAGGTCAGGTGTAAGCCCGAGTGGCAGAACTCGGAGACTGCTGTGTGCACTGTATTTCTGTGTTCCTGTGTGGACGTTTAAAGTCGCCATTCTTATTACAGGCCATGGTTGCTTGCTATCCAGGCAACGGGACAGGCTACGTACGCCATGTCGATAACCCGAATGGAGATGGAAGATGTGTGACCTGTATATACTACCTTAATAAGGACTGGGATGCCAAGGTATGCGACCTAACGCAGCCTGTGTTCTCCTCACAGGGACTTTGCTCATAAGCATACGATTCATGCTCCTCATAGGTGAGTCATCTTTAACATGTGGAACAGTGCCCAAGTCCTCTCTGGAACGTGATGGTAGGAGTGGAGCTTTTGTAAGATGGAACACAACGTTCCTCATATAACATGGTGCCTACAGTTAATGAAACAGTGTTGTAAGCTCAAAAATTTTAGAGGGTATATCTCATTTCTAACCAAAAAAAAAGGACAAGGAAGCTTTGAGAGGACGGATAAGTTTATTACCTTTACCGTGATGGTCAGCGGTATCCTGGGTCTGTGCATGTGTCAGAACTCATCAAATCGTGCATGTTGAATATGTGTGGGTTTTGTTCTATCCGCATACAGCTGTATAAAAATGTGCTAACATCTTAAAAAAAGTGGGCTCGTAACTTTTACACTGTGATTTTTATTAAAATGTCTTCTAACATTTTTTTATAAAAACACTTAAGTGAACAATTGTTTTGTCGCAGCTGTAGGGCATATTATCTGTAAGTAACTGTTCTGGATCATTTGCTGTTTTATTCTCTGCAGTTCTATAGGGATGTTAATCTGGTCATTGAATTGATTGTTGTAGTTAGGATTTTATCTTTCTCTGATGATGGAAAAACTAGAAGTTTACCAATATTGACAAATGCTGTAAAAAACAAATTAGAATGTATACTGTATGGTTCTTGTTTTAAATATACATTCCTTAACTTAGCCTGAGTTTTCTTTTAAAGTATGCCAAGCATTACTGCATTAGAGGCTGTATAGACTGCTTTTTTGGTTGTGTCTTTAAAATCCTAAGTATAACGTTCAAATAGAAAAGTAAACAGTATACAGCTCAGAGAATTTTCTCAAAGTGAACACACCTGTGTAACCACGTTTTTTCCCCATTAAATAACCTTTATCTTATTTTTTAAAGAATGATTTATTGAATTTCATTTGCTATTATTTCTCAATTTGACCAGAGACAGAGAGATAGAGAGAGAGAGAGAAAGGGAAAATGAGAAAGCAAGCCATCAGGTCCGGGACTTGAGCCATAGTTAGCCATATGGGAGTATCCAGTACCTTAACCACCATGCCACCTGCTGGTCCCGAAAATCACCAAAGTCTTTAATGTGCAAAAAACCTAGTTGCACCCTAAAGTGTTTTAAAGTGAGAGTGTGCTCCATGCACCAGCAGTTTTTCTATACCCAGCTAATTTAGAGTCTCCTCTGTCCTAGCTCATGTGCAGAATGGAGGCCAGTTGACTGTCCAGTAGACACTGAGGTGTGATGTCAACATGCAGATTTGGTCATAGTCTTCACAGTTTGAAACAGACAAGTGAATTTGGTTAGCCACCTTGATCCCTGTATAGAAAACAGTGACTTTAGTTCAAACTTAAAAATTGATTTTTTTAAGTCAGATTTTGGGAATAGCTAAAAAGATAGAAATACGCTTGATCGTCTTCTAACATTTAGATTTTGTTAGACTCTTTCTAGGCTGATCTTTTTTTAAACTTTTTTTTTTTTTTGAGAGGTTTTCACTATAGGGCGCGTGCGCTCGCCAGACAGACAAAGAGACATAGAGACAAAGTGAGAAATCACCTCCCAGGGGGGATGGTCACGCCGCAATCCCTTCTCCTCCATTCTCCTCTTGGGATCTTGGGCATGCACGCACACGTGCCCAGCATGAGTTTTAAGCCACCGGGTCTGGGACACGAACCGCGGTCGACTACGTGGGAGTCCAGCGACATAGCCATTACGCTAAATGCTGGTTCCCTTTTTTAAACTTTTATATTGCCTAGCCAAGGTCATTAATATATAGGTTTTAAATGAGTACATAGGCAAAAAATATCCCTGATGTTTTAATACGTGGAGCAGAAAACTACTGTCATGTGACCGTGTTGAGCACGTTTAAGGAGCCAGACAGTCTAGGTGCTGGGGAAAGCAGGTGTGGACGCGGTCCTCCGACAGCTCAGCCCTGGTGGCAGGTGCAGAGTAGCAGATGCAGCTAAGGAGCTGTGCCATGCGTCAGGACCTATCACCAAGGGCGGCCCCCAGTTCAGAGCTGTCGGCTACCCATTTCCCCAGACGCATTTCAGCAGGTTGTACACAGTAGTCGCAGTGACTCCACTCAAAGAGAATGGATTAAGGAAAGGAAAAGAAGACCTGTTCCCAGTCCAGTCTGAAGGTTCTGTGGATATCTGCGTGGATGTGGCCTGGGAGCCACAGGGAGCCACACTGGGACCTAGGAAGGCAATCAAGGGTGCCAGTACCTGGGGTGTGTCTTCCCTGGGGACGAGCCTGATAGACGTGTCTCTGACTATGGATTCCAAGGGTCGGCCACACTCCACGATGTCCTGATCAGATATTGAAGTTCCTTTAGTTTAGGTTTTCGAGGATAAAGAGCTGCATGCTTAGTGGGTTTTGCTAGTTTTAATCCTCCCCCCCCCCCATTGTAAACACATGAAGACAAGGCCATCTGCAGTATCCCTACTCTGCCTAGGAAATAATCATCCTTTATGGATGGAAGCAAGGTTTTTTGTTTGTTTTGTAGAGATTGTTTTTGTTTGTTTGTGGTATAGAATACTTGTGCTTACCAGAAAGACAAAGAGACAGAAAGTGAGAAATCATTGCCCAGGGAGATGGCCACACCACAGTCCTTTCTCCTCTATTCTCCCCTCGGGATTTTGGGCACACACATACATGTACCCAGTGTGAGTTTCAAGCCACCTGGGCCAGGACTCAAACTGCAGCCAACCATGTCGGAGTACAGCACCTTAATCACCATGCCACCCACTGGTCCCAGAAGCAAGTTGCCCTGGGTATGTCAGGCCCAGTCTGGAAAGGGAGCTCCAGGTAGTGGTGGTGATAAATGACACTTTCTGTTGATATCTTAAACCTTTTAAATAAAGGGCACTAAACTCGTGACTCTCGTATTAAGTGTTGGTTGAACTTTAAAATGCTTACCCTGGCCCCATAGCCTAGTTGCTAAGGGAGCCGGGTCCCACATGGCTAACCGTGGTTTGAATCCTGCTCCCCCAGCTTGGACAGTACACTGTGTGCGTGTGCGTGTGTGCCCAAAATCCTGACAGGAAGGAGAACTGGAAGACAGGGATTGCAGTGCAGCACGTCCCACCAAGGGGTGCTTGCTTCCTCTCTCTGCAAGTGCATCTGCCCTCTACTTAATAAACCATGTATTGAAACTAGTCAAAATAACTTGAAATGTATTCATTTTAAGAGTGGGTTAAGGGGCCAGCAGGTGGTGTGGTGGTTAAGGCTCTGGACTCCCACGTGGCTGAGCACGGTTCATGTCCTGAACCTGGAGGCTTGCTTTCTCACTTTCTCGCTCTCTCTTTCTCTGTCTCTGGTGAGCCCACGTGCTGTAGCCAATTAAAAATAATAATGATAAGTAAGATTAAATAAACCTTTAAAAAAAGAGTGGGTTAAGCAGATCATTAGTGTACATCACTAAGATGTTTGCTATTTTTTCAAAACTTCAAGCACTTTAGGACTTTTGAATTCAGGTAGTCATCTGTTTCATGAAGTATTTATAAAATTCCCTGAAACAGGAATAAAGTTCCCTGCTTCAGTGTGTGACATTAGAATGTCAGTTCACTTTCATACCCTGTTCACTGAGATATAGTTATGAATAAACGCATTAAGGTTTCCATCCATGAAGGCAGCCCCGCCCCAGCTGACCCTCTGGCATTCTTGCTTAGCATACTTACATGTTTGGTCTCTTCCTAGGTAAGTGGAGGTATACTTCGAATTTTTCCGGAAGGCAAAGCCCAGTTTGCTGACATTGAACCCAAATTTGATAGACTGCTGTTTTTCTGGTCTGACCGTCGTAACCCTCATGAAGTGCAGCCAGCATATGCTACAAGGTAGTACCCCTGTTGAGAGACAGTTGGACAAGAGGGGATTGGTAGGATAAACCTGAGAGTTTTCTAATGGTGTTTTCCTGCTTTTGAGCTCCTTTTATGCTCTTCCAGGGCCACTGTGATGTGAATCATTGTATGCGATTTATTCCCAGTTAGTACTAACTGCCAAGTCTGTCCTCACAGCCACCCCTGCCACTGTGGGGAGAGTGAAGCCCAGGCCCTGCCATCTTTTGAGGCCTGGCTCCTGGCTTTGCATGTGTGTCTTCACTCCTGTCCATCTTTGATTTTGATTTTGTGAGAGTTTTCCAGCTGGGGGATAGACAGAAAGATTCGAAAGTCAAGTAAAGGACAGCTTTTTAAAAGTGAGAGAAGAGAGGGACAGAGTAGAAAAGGGGTGCGGAGTAGGAAAGTAGGACGTGGCCAGAGAGCAGAAGCGAACGGAAGGAGAAAAGAGGAAAAGCAGAGGGCAGGCCGCCAGGCGGGGGCATTGATGGGAAATAGCCCTTCAGCTCTAACAGATACGCACCTCCCTGGTGTTCCGCAAGGGTTAGTGCATTCTACACCTGCTACCCGTAATGCATTGCTCTAAATGACTTTTACCATCCATCACGATGCCATTACACTGCTAAGATTGTTAAAAGAGATATCTCATTGTCATGAAAGCAGACATTTGTGGAGACGGTGCTGTTTCAGAGACCCGCTTATCCTCATAGAAAGCACTTCGTGCATTCGCATAGTAAGCGCTGCCTCGCGTGGCTGTGTGCTCCAAGAAGCCGGGGTCTCCTGGGACATGCTGGGCGGACGGCTGGCACCAGCGACGCAGTTGGAGCTGGGCCAGCCTGGAGGAGGTGCTGAGAGCTTGCTTGTCGGCTCTCCCCCTTTTCCTCCTTTCTGAGCCCACATTGCCTTTACCCCACTTCACGTAGCCAGGAGCAGGCCGAGCCACAGTGGCCCTTGGCGGCCACAAGTCCTGAGTGGAAACCTGGAGGCAGAGTGCTTTTAAACATGTTTTCTGACCCAGACCTCACCCCACGAGCCTCCCTCTTTATGGAGTCTTGAGGCCCGATTGGCTGAATTATTTCTAGATAAAGAAAGAGCAGGCGCTTGAGTGGTGTCTAAATGGCAGCCGGCGTGGAGTGCCATGGGGGAGAATTTCAGGAGGAACCTGTTAGGGTGGGACAGAGGGAGGGTGTCCAGCAGGGAGTGGGGCTCAGACGTGCCTGGATGGTGACACGAGGCCAGCCGCACGGCAGCAGGGTGCCGCCCTGGGGAGGAGTCCAGACTGGCAGGCTGGGTGCAGATGTGGGGGGGGCACGTGTGGGTGAGGGACTCCTGGAGTGGCTCTGCAGAAGGTCGGCCGAGGGCACAGGCAGTTTCAGTGGTTTCTCAGGAGGCTTTGGGGTGAGGCCTTGGGGTGAGGCCTTCGGGTGAGGCGGGGTTGATCGGCATATTGCCATTCTGATCCTAAGTAGCCACAAGTTAGAGGGCCTGGGTGAGAGCTCATTTATCTGAGCTCCTTTCCCATGGCCAGAAAGGCGCAGAGCCCTGGGAAGACCACCTGTAGCCAGGAGGCCGGACGTAGGGCTCAGCCTTGTCACCACAGCTGAAGGGGCCTGTGTCTCCCTCATCCACACCTGCAGCCATGAGCCTTCATTTGACTCTTGACTTCAAGATACGCTACATGATTTAGTCCTGTCACACCTGCTGGCTCTTCATTTGATCAGTGTTGCTTTTTGGCCTGTGACCTCGGCCAGAACCCACGAGGTACTTCAACTGGTGGCTGCATTCTGCTGAGGACCCATGTTGGCAGCGCCTGCACCTCTGTGGTGTCTACATTTTCCTCATTCCTCACAGCAGAAAGTACAGCTACAGGCTTTGTAGTGGTCGATAACCCAAAGGTGCCTTATTGTTTGTGGAATGAGCTATTACAAATGAGTGAAATTTTCAGAAAAAGGAAGCTTAGCTGAGCTTCAAACATCAACACACCATGTCATTGTTTCAATAAAAATCCTCGAAAATTCTTAGCGTACTTGAGCTCTCTTGAACCCTGGAGGTGATAATGTGAACTCCTGTTTTACCTTGGCCACCACAGAGGGATGTCTTCAGAAGCTGTTGAGGCCATTAGCCTCCCTTTCACTAAAGGACTCAGCCTGTTAGGTCCTTGAGTCCTTTTTTTAAAAAAATTATTTTGTTAATTTTATTATTTTTTCATTTGACCAGAGAGAGGGAGAAGGAAAGTTAGAAAGCAAGCTGCCAGGTCTGGGACCCCAACCACGGTCAGCCATGTGGGAGGCGAGTGCCTTAACCACTACACTACCCACTGGCCTCTGTACTCATGCCTTTCTGTAAAGGCCATTCTTTTTAACCCTTGTATTGTCTGTTTCTGGTTTTGGCTTGCCAGAGGACAACCATGAGGTTAAACGGGTGCCGAGTGAGTCGTTCAAGCTCATCTTTGTGACGGCAGTCACAGCTCTCCTGTCCCCCCACCCGCACGCTAGTGTGGAGGTTGGCGGCTGAGTGGGTCATCACGTGCTCATGTACCCTTTGATGCCGGTCCAGTGTGGGCACAACTGGGACATCACAGGTTTTGATAGACCATTACAACAGGCTGCCACTTCCCCCAGTGTGATCATTCTTACCCTATTCTAAATTTTCTTTTAGGTACGCAATAACTGTTTGGTATTTTGATGCAGATGAGAGAGCACGAGCTAAAGTAAAATATCTAACAGGTAAACATCCTTTGGGGCAGGGTATACTGGAGAACGCCCTGCCGTCAGTAGGTGCAAGCACGGGTCCTCGTTAACACCACAGGCATTCACTCCTTGTCCACATCCCTGTGAGTCATCCTCTTATCTTCAACTAACAAAATTGCCGAAGATTAGGAAAGTTGAAGGCAAAAAAGTCTAAATTATTGAAAATCAAAGTTATTCACATAGAAGCTGAGGTTTTCTTTGATTGCCCTTTTCAGTGACTGGCTTCATCGTTGAGTTAGAGCCATCAGACTCCCTTTTATTCTCCCCCGAGAGGGAAGTTATTATCTTGCCCTTTTTCCACATACATGCTTCAAAAAGCACTTGGGGGCTTCCACAGTGAACGTGAGACTAACGGAGAACACTGATACAAAGGAGGTCCATTGGAATGTCTCGTTCAGCAAGTCGGACAGTGTAGATTCCAACCTGCCTGTGGTGTCCAGGTCCACGCTCTGGCCCTGCGCCAGGAGAGCAGTTCCCTGCATGCACTCCGATGTGTCCGTCTCTCCTGGAGCATGGGGCTTGGCTGCCCACTGCCGGGCCACTTGCCTGTCCTATCTTCAGCTCCACCTGCATCTCCAACAGCCCCCTCAGTGTGCACGTGACTGGCAGGCGGTATTCTCAGGGACTGTTGATAGTCCCACATTATTCTTCCACAAAAACATAAAAATGCAATCTTATATGTCTTTTTTTTAGAGAGAGAGATTTTTGCTATAGGGCACTTGTGCTCGCCAGAGAGACAGACCCTATTCCTCCATTCTCCTCTTGGGATTTTCGGCACGCATGCACGCACATGCACCTGGCATGAGTTTTAAGCCAGCAGGTCCGGGACTTGAATCGCAGCCAACTACTGGGAGTCCAGCAACGTAACCATTACGCCATCTGCTGGTCCCTTTTCTGTGCCTTTTTAAAGTCACTGTGGCAGAAAACCCAGTAGTGTGTATTTGGTGACACTGAACACTCTACTCTTTTAAAGTGATCCACATCATTTTAAAAATAAAAGACAGACAAAATAATTCTCTGTGCAGAGCTATCTGTCCATGTGAGGAGCTTTTACCCGGAAGGGTTCCCATTCAGAGTAAGGCGCTTGTATCAGGGCGCCGAAGAGCTCGGAGGTGCGGGCTGTGTTCTCGGACCATGTCTGCAGGCTTGAGACAGTGACCGTGCAGTGGGGGAGTCGTGGGAAGCAGTGGCAGCGGCTCTCTGGTGACGAATGAAGAATGATTTTTGTTTGTGTTTTTGTTTTACTTTGCAGGTGAAAAGGGTGTGAGGGTGGAACTTAATAAACCGTCTGAGTCAATCAGTAAAGACGCCTTATAGAGCCTTGCTTTGGCAGTCCCATTTCACCTGCGGTAACTGTGGACATTATCTGTTAGCTTGAGAATTCAAGTGGAACAAAGGAAAACAGACAACCAGTGGGCACTGGCACAAGGAGACAGAAACAACTCATGTCGCATCAAACACGGTTCTGGCTGCTGTGACCTGGTGCCGCGTGTCGGCTCCAGACTGACTGCTCGAGGGAAGGAGAGAAGCTGTCACTTGGGAATGGTTTTTACACCTGGACGTGAACTAAGTGCCCTCTGTAGAACTTTTCATTCAGCTTTTGCCAGATCTGTCATCTAGCCGGGTCCATGTCATCTCTCCCTTTTTTATATCAAGTTTGAATTTGGGGTAATTTTTGTATGATTAGGTACAATTTATCAAAACTGAATTGAGAAAAAAATTACAGTATTACTCCTCAAAATAACATCAATCTATTTTTGTAAGCCTCTTCGTACTATTAAATTTTGCCCTAAAAGACTTCTCTTATAATGATTGTTACCAGTGACTGATGGTTAATTTTCTTTGTCTTCAGATACGACAGGGAGCACTTTAATGACCAGCTGAAGCGTCTGATTGTTTAGTAGTCTCCCGTCTTACACTAATTTTCAACATTGCTCATGATGGACTCTAACAGTGAAACAGTCACTACTACCACCAGTAACTTCTAGTGTATGTTTTACAGGAAAAATACACAGGAAAAGGAGTTTATCTTTTAAGTTACATTTAAAAAAAAAACTAAAGTGACTGGCACTAAATGAACTTGAGGTTCTCTCAGCATCAAGTTCCTAAGATGAAGGGCTTTCTCGCGTACAGGCACCCCGTCTAGGTGCAGACGACACTGTCCCGTTCCTGAGACTTTCCTTCTGCTGCTCCTCACATTGACTGTCCTTGCAAATTGGCTGTTGTGTTTTTTCTCAATTCTCGGATCCGCCTGACCTGCACTCAGAACCTTGTTTCTGTTGAAGAAGTTCCAGGAGGGATAGTAATGCGTGGAGACCCAAGCACGTCCGTGCAGACTTGCGCTGCGAGTCCTTGGCACTGTCGGGGCTCCCCTCAGGCCCTGGGATGCGCCTTCTGGGCCGTCCTGGAAGATGCATGTTTAGCTTCGAAAAGCAGAGAGTGCAAAACCAGATCATTTTATTTCTATGTTTTACGGGCTTCATTTTTACTTTTTAGAAAAGAAGGAATAATACAGAAGTCATAGAAGGCTTCCGAGATTCTGTTCTTAGAGGGTGAATTGAAATGGATGTCTAGACCGCATTTTCTTAGGCTCTTTAGCACAGCTCACAGGGCGATGCCCATATTTTGCATGAATGATGGGGTAAGACCTTGCTCACGTAGGTTTTCTATCTCTGTCCTTGACCTTCTTTGCCAAAATGTGAGTATACAGAAATATGTCTGTATATTTCCACATAGGACAATTTTAGCATCTGTATAGTTTATATTCAATTAGAGACCTTTTCTATGGAAAGCTCAGTAATTTTTATTAAAAGATTGCTATCGTTCATGTAAAACATGAAAAAAATTGTTTAGCAAAACCTGACAGCGTGAACCGAGGGTCGGTTAAATGTTCCAATCATGGCCTCACTGGAGAACCTGCAGGGGAAGGGCTGGTTTGCGGTTTCCCTGGGCGGGGTTGAGTCGTCCCGCTTCCTGTCCTTTGCTCCACATAATAATGTGACATCTTACAGCAAGTGCCTCTGCCAGCCCGGCCCGGGGGTGCGGCCAGCTCTGCCATCTGGCCTACTGCGGCACGCCTCGGAGGCCACGACTCAAGCAGGACGGTTCCCAGGACCAGCAGGACTTGTTCACCGCTGGTGGGGGTTGGGGTCCGATGCACAGCAGGCCCTTATTTGGGAGCCCCTGTCGCACTCAGATGGGAGCCTCTGCAGTCAGACAGGGCATCCGGTTCTACTCTGGGGGTGGTGCTTGCCAGACAGGTCTACTTGGCATACTTTTTGGAAAAGTTTACACTTTCTTGGAGATTTGTGAAAAGATCAAGAAATCGGGAAGCCGTTTCCATAAGATCCATTTAAAACCCATTCGCATTGGTGGAACCGTTAACTTACCACCAAGCAGGACTCTAAAACAAACGTCCAACTATTTGTGGCCTATATGTGTCTAATCCTGGTTAAAGATAAAGCTTCATAATGCTGTTTTTATGCAACACATTAATGAGCTGTGAAACACAGACCTTTATCAAGGGCAGGCAGAGAACTTGAGGATTCCTATTCGGATAGATTCTGAAGTCATGTAATTTGAAAAG